CGTCGGCTCTTGCACAGCCGGGCGGCTCTCGGATGCAGGGGACTTCGGCCGACCTTAGGGCGCGGGCGATGACATCGTTGGCGGCGGCGTGCCGAGAGTGGCGGCCCGCACTCTTTCGGCACTTCAGGCCATGGTAGCCTCTGGTGGTGACCTGTTCGCCGCATGGGCATCGACGGGGGACGCAGATGTCGCATCCAAGCCGGAGTGCGGTCGCGACCCTTTTGTCAATTCAACTTCGCATGCATTTTTCTTTGGTAATGTTGGAGTGTTCTTACATGTTTCTGGAGTTGCTGGAAATCTGGGAAGAATATATTGACGTGCCAAATTTTGCAGAAGTTTGTACATATTCAGTGGCTATGTTCATGGTAAACGTGTTACAGAATTTGTCTTAAAGAACGCCCTATACATATTAGCGTAATGCATATTCAATATTCATTGCGCAGTTTCTTCTATTGAATGGAACATACATGTTGGCAATGTACAAAATGATAGGATACCTAAAATTCGATAGGTTAATGTAACGTTTTAACTTTTCTACCCTTTCTATTTAACAATGAAAAAAGTTTTTATGATAATGATATTAACATTATGCAAAGTATGCTATTTCAGATACGTTCAAAATCAAATGCAAATTTTCGCAACGTGCCAAAACTTCACTTCTCCGTTTCCGAAATAGAAATCTATGTGAGATTGAACCACTTGAAATAACATACTTGGTCTATCTCCTTCAATTTGGAATAAAGTTGCTACGTGATTTTCTACTTTCTCCTCCTTAAACTTTCTTCATGCCTAAATTTTGCACTTATCTTCAAGTCCCTATAATTATGTTACCGACACGAAAGTTCTAAATAGATTGCCTACAAAATTGAGTGGGTGCACTGGTCCCGAAAGATGGTGAAAGTGGGCACTTTTTTTAATAAGTATGGAATTCCTCTGCTTTCACCACTTTCTCCGGAATTAAATTTCCGTCTATTAAACTGGGATTTCTCTCAAAATTTGGCATTTATTAATTGTTCGGGTTTTTTAATTTTTGCATCACCAATTCAATTTAAACTTTGCGTCAGTAATTTGAACACTTACCCAGACACGAGTTCCCCAAATAGAGTTCCAAATATGTGTGGAAAAACGCCTGATACAAACTACTCCATGGTCCCACCTCATTGTGAAACAAGACTCGGACGGCGAACGGAATCGCGACAACAATCGCCATCAGGGCTGCGGAGGAATAACCTGGAAAATGCGGAATAAACGAGGCTATTAGAATTCAATAGGCTTAACACAAAGTGCTGGATATTCACTGTTACATGATTGTCTGGTTTTGGTAGGGTTGCAAGTGGGATAATTGGTGGTGGAATATTTCTGGACAATTTTGTTAATTTAGAAATTAGAAAATTTATTTTCTTTGCACTTATCAAGATTTTAAAGTGAGCAATTAAACTATACGCATCTCCATGAGAGAACTTCCTACGAGTTTGCATTCTAAGAAATTAAAATCAGTTAAAAACTGAATTGGAAAATTAATGGTTGTATTTTGGAAGGTTTGGTAAAAGTTTTTGACTTTTCTGAGTGACTTGAAATCTCGGTCAGAATTTTTGTAAGGGCGAACTATGCAACCCTGTCTGTGAAGCTTGAGAGACAGACACGTATCGGCTTTTCAATTGGCATTGAGAGAATGGAGGAGGTCGTTAAGGAAGACAGCTTTCACACTGCAGTATTCTTCTCCTCCCTCTAATTGCGGTGGTTAGACTTTCCTTTAATGTGGGGAATGTCGAGGGGAAAGCGAGGAAGCCTGGGCGAAAGTCAATATTAAAACGAGGCTGTTGTACAAGTTGAGGTATTTCCGGAATTTTCAATGCTCAGATTTCTTTTCACTCTTTCAAGATCTTGTTACGGTTTGGAGCTAGGGAAAAATTCCGCGAATGCAATTAGCGTTCTTTTATTCATGCTTAATTTTAATTTATAGGTCTCTGGGAGTTTTTAAATTGGCCAACATCTTTTGCCAGGTTTCGCAAGTTTTGGAGGATTAGTGGAAAAACATGAATAAAATACACCTTCGCAATTTCACTGCTTAAGAAGGGTGATCTACTCCTCGGGGTGTACATAACATATGTAATCTTTTTCAGGAAAAAACGAAACAGGAACTTTAAATATACATTTTGCATATTTAATTAATGACATTGCAAATTCATTCTACACAGTAAATATAGAACAAAGTGATTCATAAAACTCGATTGTATTCAGATGACCAAAAATTCGAAATGTACATACTTAGAACAATTTCATTCCATTTTTTAGTACCATTTCATTAAAACAAATCAGATTTGTATAAATTATTTAATTTTCTCAATTAATTACATGTTTATTTTTCATAAGTTTAGTAAAATTCTGAATACGTTTTTATACATGTACATAGTTATGTGAAACGTATTTATGGCACATGGCATACTCATAATATGTATATGAATTCTTTCACTTTCATGATTCCAGTATTTCTCGCAAGTTAAAGGAAACAAAAAATTATGCACATGTACATATAGGTATACAAACTTTCAAGGTACATGCAGATTGTTGTTTTCAAACGGAGGAAGTTTTTACATACATATAATAAGTCAGGTTTAGGTCGTCATTAATTCTCTCGCTTTCAAGATTAAACGTGGGAAATATATGTGAAATTTATTACAAGTGTAAATATGCAGACGTTATGGGGAGAGCTTGTGTTCTTCTACTGCGTTTGTACATTTGCTAAGGAGTACTAAAATTGTTTAAGAACTCTTACGGGTAAAAGTTATGTGGGTTAGTTGGTAAGTACATAAATTCATAAGCACGACCAATTCTCATTACAAGTGTGTATGTAAAGGTTGTTATGTAGGGACTTTATTGCTCATAAAAGTGCATATTAAATTATGTATGGTCCCATTATTTCTTTAGGACTTGTACATATATACCCAGAATGCTGCAACATGTCTGCTTAAAGTTATAAGATACTGAAAGACGTAATTTACTGAGTACATACTTATTAAATTGTGATGAACACTCATTTCTTTCTAGGTTAATTATTAAATTTGTCATAGCTTAGGACAATTAGAAATATTGGAATTCAATATCCTGAAATAATTGAAAAATAAATTTCGTTAATCTCAGTAAGCTTGGCATCTAAATTGACAATATTTTTCGCTGCAGCCGCAAATGGTGAAAGTAAAATTATGGGTGAAAAATGAGCATCAGCTAATTTTTAAGCACACATTAAATGTCCCATTAATATTAAGCTCGGATAAAAACAGTTAAAAATATTATGTTTTAACTACACATGTAAAAATTGACGAAATTTACAATTTGTCTGACATATTTATATATGTATTGAGCATTCCCTGACTTTCACCCCACATTTTTTTATACTATTTAAATAAAAGTCTCATTTTCCCCTTTCATGACTACGGAAAGCTTATTCCTTCGTCCCGGTGTGACTTATGATCATAATAATTCCAGCTATAGAAAACTTTTTCTCCCCTTAACCGGCTGCAGGCCGAGGAATGGTTCGGTACTTAGTTCTTCCAACAAGTTTTCGACATGCAGAAGCACGAAGAGAAAGTTATGTATGGTACGTAAGATGCGATAAGGATAAGGATACCGTGACAGGGAACATTTGGCAGAATTTGTTACGTGTCCTGGCACCAGTTTGACTTTTGTTTCCACTTTTTGGCAAGTTGTGAAAACGTGTTGGGAAGAATTATGGCAATTTTGTGAAAACACTTCTTTTTCAGAGCAAATGGTTGAAGAGAAGGAGACATTGAAAATGCATTACGCCCTCGTCATCCGGTATTCATATTTAATGTTGGGAGAGAGAATGGATAAATTTCGCAAAATATTTGTTTCACTAACAAAATTTGGGAAAAAGTCGACAATTTTTAGATTTTAGTTTGTGTCATTTTAACAAGAATTCATTTTTAATGCAACGTTATTTTGTTTGCAAAGTTATATTGGTAGCCAACAATAATTAATGGACAAGTACGTCAATGTATTTATGTAAGTTAAACACATGTATCAAGAAGCAGAATAATCTAGAGTCAAAATAAAATATACATATTTTCCAGCCTTTATTTTTCACAAAATATGTGTTATGACATTTATTTATTTGTCAAGGCTAATCAATGCTAATCTTGGCTATTAAGGAGTACTCATGCAGAGACGGAGTAGGTACATATGTAAAACTGTTTCCCTCACTTATTTCTTGCACGTGGTGACTTTCACCCTACGCATTAACTAGATTGAAATAAAAAATAGGATGCAAGTAACCCACCAGACAAAACAACAAGAAACGTGGATATGGGCACGCATCTGAATTTTTATCAAATCGTATTATCCTTGTTATTGAAACATCTAGTCAGGTTTCTTTCCAGACTGTGTACAAATCACCTGGGAATTGTGAGTGATGTACATGGCATTGCCTTAGACATGCAATGACAATTGGCACATGACCTTTTTATGCGGATTTTTATTACGTATGCCAAAAGAGACAAGGAAATGAACATATTTTCTGGCATTCGGCGAAGTGATGTAATTAAAGCGAATTCTTGATTTCTCTCGTGGTAATAAATATCAGCGTGTACTTCGTATTCTATCTAGCAGTATTTCCTCACCGTAATGTACTTATCTCAGTACTCTATTTAGTAAATATTGTGTAAACATTCCCATTGACAAAATAGGGTGAAGGGGGAACAATAAATATTATGAGGAGGACATGTGCACAATATGTTTATTGAACTCACTAATATAGGAGACATTTCATTAGTGATTGATTTGCTTGGTAAATACGTACACATATTCCTTCAATAAAGGTCGAAAGGTTGTGGAAATCCACAATACTTAATTTCATTGCAACGCACAAGTTAGTAAAATCACGACAATTTCACAACGCACCAACCAATTACTGAAATGAGTTTGTCTCGAGGTATAAAAGCTCCGTTGTTCAGGAGAATATGATAGTCGAATTTATCATCTTATTGCAATAACAAACAGCCAGACCAAGTTGAGCCGATATCTTTCGGAGTCCTTGGATCAGTATTTTCACATAAATATCATATTTCAATTTCCACTTGCGGAATTTCACCAGTCGTTGGAGACTTTGAAAATCGGAAACTATGGGAGACTTAAGGCTGGTCTATTTCGACATTAGAGGTTTGGATTAATTTACTTCAATAAATATGATGTTAAATTAATATTAAGTGTTAAATTGATAACTTTTTAATATTTTAGGGATGGTAAGATGTCCAGGGATTAGATACCTTACCCGTAAGGTTTTGTAAGGCATGGTAAAGCAATTAAGGTTTGACTAATTTAGGCGGAACCGATCCGTTACATGCTAACGGCGGCGGGCGTAGGTTCGTCTTAATATTTGCATTTAAATAAATGAGATTTAGATAAATTGGCCAATGCTTTTTAAATTGTTTAATCTCAACGTAGCCTTCACCGATGATAGGATTCCGCTAACGGCATGGACAACCAAAAAGAAGGGTATGTTATCCGAATTTGAGAGGATTTGTTAACAATATTTTTTCCGGTTATTTGGATCCCTTCAGGTTTAATAAACCTAATGCAAATTTATGTTTATTGATTAATTTGATAATGAAACAGGCACGCTGGCCAATATCATGCGAAGAAAGTCATCCTTAGCTGAAACAGCGGCTGCCCTTGGTATATTTATTTACATCTGAATTATCTATGCATTTGAATTTTTTTAATGCACTTCCAGCTAAGGATATGTTAATTTTACAGGTTTGACCAAACAGTTTGTCGGACAGCTGCCAATTCTTGTTGTCGGTGAAAGTTTCGTTTTAACCCAACCACTCACGGTTATTCGATTTCTGGCAAAGAGATGCGGCTTCAATGGCAAAACGGAATTGGAGGAAGCCAGAGCTGAAGAAATTTCTGATCTGGTGTACGATCTAAGGATCTGTAAGTTAATGGAGATTTAACAAAAATTGCAAACGAAAGAGTGCAAAATTTATTTTGTCTCGTCAGTGGCTATGGAATTTGAGGGGAAAGCATTCAAGTCCAACACCCCAGATATTGTTCGTCATACAGGTTTTACATATTTTTAATTACTTTGCATATCTACACAATATTTGCACAGTAAATAATAAATCAACTGTTTTTCTAAAGTATTCCGGGATTTAGCTACCGCTCCAGAATCGAAGGAGAAGACAAAGATGCTGGAGGACTTTCAACTAATTCATTTCCCACTTTATTTCCTTGCTGGAAAGCGAGGAAGCCTGGGCGAGGAAGCCTGGGCCTGGGCTAACAATTTAATTCCTTGCTGGAAAACAGTGGTGGGGATTGGATTGCTGGGGAAAGTATGACCTACGGGGATTTTGTTTTGGGTATAAAAATATGTTATTTATATTAATGTGAGTCTGGTTTTTGCAAAATCTATTGATTTATCATGTTCGAATCGTATAGCCAACTTTCTTGACATTGCGTTGGAATTTGTGGATCCTAATTGCTTGGACGAATTTCCAAAACTAAGAAAGCTAATGGATGATGTGCTTGGAATACCGGAAATTCAAGAGTGGCGGAAACTCCAAGAAATAAAAGCGTTGCAACGTTTGGCGGAAAATGCGTAATCAAGCAACTTAAAGACAGTCGAGTACGTAGCCATAAATATTTCATGTTGTAGTTAAAAACTGAATAATATCAATATAAAGTTTCCATATGAATAAAAAATAAATAAATGTTGAAAAGATGAAACTATGTATTTGTGTATCTTCTATTATTCCTGTCGGCAATGCATAAATACATTCATATATTCATCTAGCTTGTCATAATTACTAAAGCTGCTTTATTAACTTGAATTTTTAATTTAATAAGTTATAACAAGTTTACATATCTCAGGATTGGGTTGATTTTTTGGGATCGGAAACATATTGTGGCAAATAGCAGAATATTATTCCACAGAAATCTTTGCAGCTTTTAAATACGTAAAGTAGAGTTTCTTATGGTAAGTATTTGTCCTCCTCCCTTACTAGCTTTTGAAACAGGTAGAGCAAAATCCTCTTGTTTTTGCAACATTTCTCCCAAGAGGGAAAAAGGAAGTTCAATTATTCAAACTTTTTCCAGACAAGGGAACCCCATGTCGTCTCTCCAAAATTAAGGACTTATCCACTGATTAGTTTTTTTTGTTCGAGTATAGTATAAGCCTCCACTTTCTCTTACATTTTGGTTGAAGAAGACTGGGTAGCTGACCCACATCATGGGAGAAGAAAGTGACAACTTTTTCTCTCAACAGAGAAAATGAAAAGGAAAGTTCTCGGATGAGTCGTCTAGACTGGGGATAGACTAAGAAGGAGAAAGTCAAAAGCAGTGTGGCAATAAAGTAATAAAGTCGTAAAATATAAAGACACAGAAGTATAGATGTGGAAGTTGTGGGGATATTTGAGGAAGGGGATTACAACTTTATGCATCTGCATATACGGCACAAGTGTATAGTGTTTGTTTGTACATAGATATATTTTTGGTAGGATATTAAACAAACCGGTGTCCCTAGCTTGATCCTGCGGTCCTTGCAGATTTGCGTACTATTTAGTCGAAGCAGATACAGAATTTCTGCGACAGAAACACAAGAAAGGAAAACTTGCTATCAATTGGGCTACATCGCTGGATTAGATGAAGTCTAACAAGGTCTAATAAAGAAATGCCTGCATTGCCATGGCTTTCACCACGAGTGAGTAATCATATCAGAGCCTTCAATGTTTATCCATGTTTTATTAACGTCTTGCCTCAATATTTTGTTCTGAAATTGTAGATATACATTTATACAATTTAAATTTATTTACGTGTGCTACGTATCCACACATTGGAATAATAAATGAAGAGAGAGAGGATTTTGGTTTTCGCATACTGAAATTATGTACATAATTTCCTGTACAGACGTGAAACAGTTATACGAATGCAGATGAGTTACTTATGTAGAAATCCAGGTCTGAGGTAGAATGTGGTTGAAATTAAAGTAGGCTTTGTAGACGTAATGTATTAAATATTTACATAGTTGGAAGGAATGGGAATGTCTGTAAAGGATATTTCTTAAGCCGCACAATCTCACGGTCTCAATTGGTATGAATGCCGTATTATGGTTGTACTTGATTAGATTTAAGCTCTCAAGAGATTTCATGAAAATGTTGATATTTGCACGGAAAGAATAAATATTTATTTGCATAATGAGCTAAGTAACATTTGCAAATATAATTTCATTATGATCCACACCTAGTCAGACGTTTCTTTTTCTGTTGGTACAAAAGTCTAAGAAATATTTCGACATCTTGCTGGCTTTCTACCGAGAAATCTGTTTATTGTGTAATGGAATGAATTATGGAATTCTTTACCATTGCGAGTATTCAATCCAAGCTCAAATTAAATCAGGGTACCCTAGTCTGTAGAGCTGAGTTTTTTATAACTTAATCCCGGTTGCTTAATGTGGTTTTGTGGGATTTAATATTTATCAAGAGCTTTATAAACGTTTAAAATTGTGTAATTTTGTATTGCATTTAAATTATTACTTCGTCAGTTATTTGGGGTCTCTTTCAAATGATTTGTATAAAGAAAACTGACAAAATATTGGATTTTCATTGCAAACCTCAAGGTTTTTGGAACCCTGAATTTAATTCTGCGTAAATATTTACGTACAGACAAAAGTATTTCAAAATGCTGTATCGTATTAATGTTTACCGAACTAAATTGGCTTTAAGATTACGATGGTAGCTTATTTGTGCAGTAATTGCCACCGGCAGGAAATAAATTACAGATCCATAACCATATGCTGTGTAAATATTCAAGATGCCGTACATAATACAATACAATACAATATTTGCTAAGGGGACTTTATTTAGTCCACACATCTATGTATATATTTAGTGTATGACTTAATGCATACTCATGGTGTTAACAAATACATGCCCCGCAATAGGAAAATTAATGATTATAAATCTTGACAAATTTTGTTTGGCAAAATAAATAAAAATTTAATGAGACAGCATTTGATCAGTCACAAAAAATTAAATATGGTTATTTACGATGCGAAAATTTTATTCCTTGCGTTCTAGAAGTTTGTATTTGTTCATCGCAGTGTCACCTACGTACACATTAACTAATTTTTCCGCACAAGAATGCATTTCCTGCAGAATTCATCCAACACGTAGAATTCTCTCTAGGAGACACTCCGAACTCGTGAAAGAAATGACTTTCCCTTTCTCAGAAAGAAAGTTGTTTTTCTTTCGCAATTTCCCCTTGTTAGTGACCAGCTGTGAATGAGAAGAAAAAGAGAAGAAAAGAGTGCTTTTAACCCAAATAAAAGAAGAATGTCCATGCAGAGAGTGGACGGCTGGCAGGATGTCGGATAAAGAGGAGCAGCAGGAGGTCGAGAAAGAAAAGGAGAGGAAGGACGGATATCGTACACAATTCCCTTTGACTCAGAGCGACACATTTACATGGCAAAAACATACACAGTGACATATATTTGGATGCTGATGTCCAGTGTTCGGGAAACTCAATTTTGGACAGTGGTCAAAAATGGTCAAAAATGGTCAAAATGTTTTGACCATAGGAAAATTGCAATAATTTCCAAAATTTATTAAAAATTCCAACATAATTTAAAAAATACTCAACAATCAAAAATAGTAAAAAAAATTGGACTTTTGGACAATGGTCAAAACTGGTAAAAAATGGTAAAAAATGGTAAAAAAAACTTTCAAACATTTAAGTTGCCATAAATTCCAAAACTTGACTTCCGAAATTTATCCCAATTTCAATCTAATTCTCAAGAATATTTTAGACGCATAAAGGTATTAAAAAATGTCCAAAAAATCCAACTTAGCAAAAATGTCGATTGGAGTGGTCAATTTAAAAAGTTAACAGACCTTTTCAGACTACAACATCAATGGTTATTGGCACTTTTAGGTGGTCATTCTCGTTTGGTTTTATCCAGTCGGAACCATACCTTTACCAGAATTGTGTAATGAGCCTCTCTCCGAGAGTGAAAGTAGGGGCGGATTGAGTAATAAAGTCAGTCCGCCATTAAATACAAATGCAGTCATTATGAGCTCTCACGATTTTATACGACTCCATAAAATGCCCTGTGGTCAGTCACGTCCACTACAAAGGAAAGTGTTCAATTTCTAGAGAATTCTTGTAGTGTAAGAATCGTGACCCACCACAAGTGAGTATGCAGATTGTTATGTAACGGGAATCTGTTTAAAACTTTGTGCGGTTGGCAGTTTGTATTATTTGTACATTCCTACACATGAATTTTAAGTTATGTAAGGTTAAACTTTTCACTTCGTAGTGAAAGTGGAGAAAGTCGGGCAGAAATGGAGAGCTCTACTCAAGTGAAATGTAGTAGGAAACAGGTATCGAATTATATTTCTACCGTAAATTTAAAATGCCCTGTTCTATTCTACACAAGTCCTGGAACGTGTGTTTGAACGAAATGTTTAAGTTAAAAAAATTAAACATTTAACTGACAGGGGCAAGGCAATTGGATTAGGCGAAGAAAATAAAGCCAATTACTAAAGTAAATGATAGTTTGTCCAAAGCCAAATTTCCATGAAATATTTCATAGAAATTGGTCAATTACTTACTTAAATGTCTGTTAAGTAAAGAAATTAAACACAGTTGGGCGGACTTTTTTAAATTCGTTACTTGGTTGACTAGCATAAAAAGTTATACATATGTACATGTGTCAGGTTTGGAGAGACTTCTGCAATATGAAATATGTTTTAGTGTCGTGTTCCACTTGATTTGTTAATTAACTTGGCTTCATATCAGTACTTCCGGTTACAGATGTGAAAGAGGAGCAACCACCCTGCGGCAGCTTTATTACGCATCAGGAAAGTCAGACAGCTACAATTTTGTTGTCTGTTTGTGAGACAGACGTGATAGAAATTTGTAGCAGTTTACTCAATTAAGTAAATAAATGAGAGCTATGATGAGTGCCTTCAGAAACTATTGGATATTGTACGGAAAGGTCAGAGTGCGAATATTACTTAATTTTGGGATTGCTTGCTAACATTTTGTTGCGAATTGTGTTTCAGTATGTATTTAGTTTTACTTTATTTTAAAAAAATGTTCCAAGTAATGTTCGAAAGTAAAATTATACTAACTTTAATAAATTTCCAAACATATTTCTATACAATGTCCAGCTTAAATAAAGCTTCGTATGAAAAATATTCACAACTCCTCAAAATGTCCGAATAGTCTCGAGATACCGATTTACAACAAAAACATATTTACTTTCCAAGTCACGAATTTACAGGTTGTGCTCAAAACAACAGCCTATGCGTTGAGAATGAACTTTGTCGTGTTGTTCGTCGTGTCAACTCTCTCCAGACTTGGCCTGATTCCTGTAGAAATTCATACCTCTGGAAGTAAAGTCTGAGTTGTAAAGCTGTTCAAGAAACTTAGTAAGAATAATGAGGCGAAATCAAGAATTCATGACTTTAAGAGAAGAGGTTTATCATTTTTTGTAAACTTACTACATTACTCTGTCCTTTATTTGGTAGGCGGTTTCACGTCAAACAATAAGAGGAGACGAACATTTGTAAAGTTGAGACATTGTGATTTTGTAATAATTTTTAAATTTGCAAGTGTTTCCCACATAAATTTCTCTGGAAGTAATACTTGAATTATGGGCTTTGATTTATTTTGTATTTTGTAGCCCTTCAAAAAATATGATTTCCTAAAAGCAACATACGAATGCA